AATTAAAAATTTAAGTCTCAAAAGTTGGACTTAAAATTTGTAGCCTCGTTCAAATAAATGGCCCATTGATTATCATCGGTACAACAGTTCTCTCAAGTGGACAGTTCAAAGTTCCCACGGCGCTAAAAAAAGGGATTGATGACCGTTTCTCACACTTACGACCCTTGCAGCATCCCCGGGGACACGCAATCAAAATTCAGGTGTTTAGCAACTGACTTGTACTCGTGACAGTTGCATTCTCCGGCCGGGGTCATGTGGTCCTTTTCGGCGACTTTCTGACAAGCAAGGTCAAATGGGGGAATCAGATTCGCTGAACAACTGAATGACTGCAAGCAATTCACTGGGGCAAGAAAGTGTCGTGGTCCGCCAGCAGCCTGTGGAGCTGGCAGCGGAGTCAGACAGTGAGGAGGCTGGGGAGGAACGTGGGCCAGTCCTGGAGTCTGGGGAAGGCTCGGATGAGGGCTCTGCATCGGAGGCAGAGAGGGGGCCAGGGCCATCGGGGAGTGATGCACTGACTCCGGAGCTTCCAGAGCCGGACAGTACAGAGGCAGAGGAACAGGAGGAACCTGTTCCTAGTGCGCGCATGCGCAGAGCTGCCAGTAGGCAAGAACACTTAAAACAAAAGGGACGACTCGGGAGTAAGGCCTGGAGATAACTGGCCCCTCCCATAAGGCTTAAAAGAGGAGCAAAGGCATGTGGGCCCTTTGCAGGAAAGCAATGTTGTTAATCCTGTTTCCAGTCGGCATCTCTGTTTGATTCTGGACTCTGTGTGGCCTTGCCAAATAGGTCTTTGGCAATATGTCAAAGGAGATAAAGGTTGGTGATTATCCCGAAGGATTTTTTGCAACTAATTGGGACTCAGCTGTGAATGAAGGTAATTCACAGCTGTTGCAATAAAAAAGGTTTCTGGGACTACTCGTGTGTTTTCATGACTCACGAAGCCTAGGTCACAACAGAAAGGTTGCAAAATGAGGCAAAACTCACTTAACAAATGTTTCACTTTGCAGCAAAAATTTTGGCGCTCGATCGAGATCGAAAGTCAAGGACTACCGGTTACTCCCGTGATGGCGAACCTATGGCACACGTACCAAAGGGGGCAGAGCCCTCTCTATGGGCACGCACGCCGTCGCCAGCTGTTCTTCTGGTTATGTGGGCCATTTTTGGGGCCGTTTTCTGGCCAAAAAACAGGCATGCGTGCACCAGCCAGCTGGTCTCCGGGTTTCCGGTGCTCCGACGCACTCACATGCACACATGTGCACGCGTGTTCTGGTTTGGCCAAAACGGTTTGCCATCACTGGGTTACTCGTTTTTAACTTTATTCCCTAATCACATTTTTTTTTAAGATCTTCCAAACTGAAGGTCATATCTATTAACCACACCATAGCTACTATACAGGGATTCTAGCGCACTATCGGACTGTTGCCACTGAAATAGCATCACTTGATCTCCAATATACGCAAGGGCAAAACTCCGATGGTTTCCACCTGGGCTTAATCTGTTTTTGTTTAAAAAAAAACCCTGCTATTTTCCAGCTCAGTTCTTTAAGAACTGGTTGCATCTGGACCGGTGGCTGGGTCTGTTTCCAATTTTGATAAAAGAGAATATTTGTAGCTCAAGGTTGAACTGTGGCGTACTTGGTGCTCTCCGAGCTTGGTGTGGGGGTCGGGTTTTTTTTTGTGGACATTTCATGACCCAACTAGGTAACATCATCAGTGCTAGAAGGAAGTGGTGTTCTTGCACCTCCTTCTAGCATTGAAGATGTTACCTAGTTGGGTCATGAAACATGCAACACGAAAGCAGCCAAGCACAGAGAGTACCAAGGACCCCAGGGTCCTCCTTCTCCTTCTCCTCCTCTTCCTTTCCCCCTTCCCCAAACTGGGACACTGATTTTTTTAAACAGAAAAGCTGTTTGACCCATTGAGTAAAACAGTTGAGTGACATCCTGTCTGGTAGGTCTGTCTGAAGTAGCGACCAAAATATTCTTAAGACTTGCAACAAAAGTTGACTGCAACAACAAAAAATATTATTAGAAAACGCTTGAATCAAAGGTGCTGAGACTCTAGGAAGAGTGCAGAGAAGAGCAACAAAGATGATTAGGGGGCTGCAGGCTAAAACATACGAAGAACAGTTGCTTGAACTGTCCAGTTTAATGAAAAGGAGGACTAGGGGAGACATGATAGCAGTCTTCCAATATCTCAGGGGCTGCCCCAAAGAAGAGGGAGTCAAGCTATTCTCCAAAGCACCTGAGGGCAGGACAAGAAGCAACGGGTGGAAACTAACCAAGGAGAGAAGCAACCTAGAACTAAGGAGAAATTTCCTGACAGTTGGAACAATGAATCAGTGGAACAACTTGCCTCCAGAAGTTGTAAATGCTCCAATATTGGAAGTTTTTAAGAAGATGTTGGATAACCATTTGTCTGAAGTGGTGTAAGGTTTCCTGCCTGGGCAGGGGGTTGGACTAGAAGACCTCCAAGGTCCCTTCCAACTCTTGTTATTCTATTCTAAAGTTTGTTTTCTCCAAAAATTAATTCTGGTTGCCATTTCCACTTGTTTGTCTTCTCTAGGCAGGTAGAACGGCTTCCCTCCAGAATTGCTCCGTTATTCCTGGAGAAACTGGACAACCATTTGTCCGGAATGATGTAGGTGTCACCGTCCCAGCACTGACATATATAAAGAGAGGAGAAACTTGAACTTTTGCCTGCTAAATCCCTTTGAAGATTCTGTCTCCTCGGAGATGGGAGAGGGGGGGAGACATTCCTGTGATCTGACGAAGAAGAGATCAGGAAAGGGACTTGGAAGATAGCCAATGAGAAGCAGAGAATTGGGGATCGGAAAGGGAGGGATTGGGAGGGCAAAGGTCAGTACTGACCGCGAAAGAGCCAGGATCAGATTGCCGTGCTCAAATAAAGCGAAAATTTCCTTAAAGATTGGCAGTTTGGAAATTCATTTATTTTGAGATAGCATCGAAACCTGACAGTAGGCTCTCCTGCTTGAGCAAAGGGTTGGACTAGAAGACCTTCGACGTCCCTTTCAGCCTTACAATTCAATAATGTCCGATTCCATGATGGACAGCTGTTACCTACTGAAAACCTTGCTCCTGACTCCGTCTCAGGAAGGAGGATGGCTCCTTTAGCCAGCTAGGGCTTTGCATCAGCTGGTAACGATTGCAAATTATTATTTTTTTTAATATAAGACATGCTTGCATAATTTCATGCTTGAGGCTTGGGATAGAGCATCTGGTACTGAGGACGACCCTGAATGAAACAGACCGAAGGAAAAAAAAATGTTTCTCGCCTGCATGTCTCCATCTTTTTCGTGGCTTGTTGCTACAGAAGTAGAGCTTCTGTTGGAGACGGAATTTGGTACCAATAGACCCAAGAATGCCGTGATGATTATCCAGACCGAGCTAGGCTTCACTCGAAAGTAAACCCTACAAATTGACTCCGGAGTGCGTTTGAAAATTAATTCCATCTGCTCGACGGACCATGGCCAATGACTTCAACCGGCTCCTTTCCATCTCCCCCCCCACACAAAATAGCTGGACGTTTATCCTTCCATGATTAATCCTGACCTATTTCAAAACAGGCCAGCAATCTATTAAAAAAAAAATGGCCTTATAAGATCTAAGGTCTGGTTTCATAGGAAGCCGTCTACGGACATATGCTGCATGTCCCAGGCATCCTCACGTATAATTTTCGTCTAGGTTGATTCCAAAAATGCAGAAACTCGCTCGCTTGTTGGGTTTTATTCAGAAAAAATAAGAGTAACTATTTGGCTTTGCGTTCCTATACTGTCTGCTTTCTGTTTATAAGATCAACCAATCTGTATCTTCTTGTATTAGTTTGTGTTCTAGTACAGGATTAATGACTTAACCTCTAATAAATGCTTAGAGTTATTAGGACCCTTATTTCTTAATTGCAGAACTGTTAAATTGGTATCAAATATAATTATCTATCTATCTATCTATTTATCTATCTATCTATCTATCTATCTATCTATCTATCTATCTATCTATCTATCATCTATCTATCTATCTACCTATCTATCTATCTATCTATCATCTACATCTATCTATCTATCTATCTATCTATCTATCTATCTATCTATCTATCTTCTATCTATCTATGTATCAATCTATCTCTATCGTCCATCTACCTATCTTCATGTATACCTTCAAATTTAATCAGGAAATTGAATCTATCTATCCTTCAAGGTCCCTTCTAACTGTTATTTTGTTCTTCTATCATCCATCCATCTCCCCCTATCTCTATCCATGTCTATCAATGTATCTCTCTCTCTCTCTCCTCTCTCTCTCTAATCTATCTATCCTTCAGGTCTCTTTCAACTCTTATTATTCTCCTCTCCTCCCTCTCTCCCTCCCTGCCTCTTTTTTATTTTTTCTCTTTTTCTTTCTTTCTTTCTTTCTTTCTTTCTTTTCTTTCTTTCTCTTTCTTTCTTTCTTTCTTTCTTTCTCTTTCTTTCTTTCTCTCTCTCTCTCTCTTTCTCTCTCCCTCCCATCTACCTATCTTCCACATATACCTTCAAACTTAATCCGGAAGCTGGATCTTTTGCAATCCTTCTAGGAAACAGCCCCCACTTTCGATGCCAAGTGCTAAGCGGTGACCCCTTTCTCTCTCTCAAACCCCCCACCTCCCCCCCCCCCAACGTGCCCCAGATCTTGGAGAGGCAGGTCCTTTAAAAAAAAAAGGCTTACATAAGCCACCCCGAGCAGAACGGCTGCATCCTGCCTTGAACAGAAGCCTCAAAAGAAAAAAAGAAGAAGAAGAAAAAAATAAAAACATTTCTACGTTTCTGCCTTAAGCCATCTCTCCTTTCTCAGCCCTGACGAAGCCTAAGGGAGGGAGGGAGGGCGTCTACGACACGGGTTTGATTTCCCCAAGCTGTGACCTCACTGGGCACACACAAAAAAAAGAGGTGGGGGGGTGTTTTCAGCCAGCCCTCTGGAAGGAGGCCCTGGGGGTGGGGGTAGGGTCTCCTCTCTTTGCCGGTGCGGCTCCTTGACTTGATGGGAGGAGGGTAGGTGGGTGTAAATGGAGGTTACCCAACCAGAACGTCTCCCTGCTCACCGCATGCTCGATTGTCATCCCTTCCCCTCCTCCGGCGTGGACATCCTACCCACCACAAAGGAGACGGTATATCAGGCTGGGGGTAGCTACTCCTGGAGTGATGGATTGAGGACGCCAAGAGTGTCAGCCTATTGTTTCTCAGCTCCTACCGAGCACGGGGGAGCCGACGGATGGACCCGGCGATCAGATTCAAGGGACGCGGATTCCCACAATAAGGAAGTCAGCAAACCCCTGGACAACCCTTCCTTTCCCTTGTTGTCCTGCTTTGCAACGCCGGCCGGGACCCCCAGGCGAGACATTTCCCTCCTGCCGTAGAAGCTGGGCTTCTACGTTTTGGCTACCGTTTTATTTGGCATCGGGGATGTGGTCCTTATTTCCAGGGATGAACCTAGCAGCGGATTCTTGATTTAAAAGGAAAAACAAGTAAAGCAAAAAAAAATAAAAATAAATAACAAATAAAAATGCAAGTTTGAAGCTGGAAGAAAGAAACCCCCCTCAAGGGGAAAAAAAAAGAGGGTAAGGAAGATACGGAACAATATTTGCAATTTAACAGGATAATCTGACCGTGCGATATTTCGCAGAACAAAAACACAAAACAAAACCGACAGCTTTGGAAAACAAAGCCTGCTTTTCGGTAAGTATTTTTTTGGGGTCATCAGCTGTTAGGGGAGGCTGAGGAGGGGAGCATTTTCAGCAAAAGAAATCCAGAGGAGTTTTTCAAACGCTAAGATTTTCTCCGTGGTTTGCTTTTTCTTTTTCTTTTTCCTTTCTTAAAAAAAACAAACAAACAAACTTCAGAGTCTCTGTTTATAAACTTTAGCCTAAGATATTGAAATGCCTAAGTTCTGAATCACCGCATCTGTGAAATGAGTTTGGCTCTTTGTAAACGCAGCCTAAGATACCCGAAACTCTAAAACTCTTAATTCACGGGATGTATAAAATGTGCATTGCTTTTCCTAAATGCTAATAACTTTTATGACGTGTGTCTCTTCTTTGAAAAGGACTGTTGTGTTACGGTCCAGGAAATCGGTTTTTTCGCTTTCCTCTGACACACGAATCAGATTAAAAGTAAACCTTTAACAAAAATCACCATGTTTGTACGTACAGGGACAATGGCTTTTAATATATATATGTAGCTAAGCAGAGTGGAATATTGGAGAAATAATTGATGGAACAGTATTAACACGAGATGGCAAGGGAGAAGTTTTAAGGCTGAGATTGAACAGGGTTGCGAAGCTCTGGAAGAGAAACTTTTTAAGGCCGTTTGGCTTAAAGGGACGACAAAATGAGGCCACTCTTTTAAGGGGAACGAGAGCAAATCTAATATTACAGTTCAAATTGCAAGAAAAAAAATGTTTTAAATAAGGATGGTTTTTTTTTTTCTGGGGAATTTTTGTCCGACCTAGAAACAGACTGCTCACCAAGACCAGAGATGGAACTGAAAGTCACTTAGCAAAACTTAAAAAAAAAATAATTGTGAAATTAAAGGCTGACATATCTATAGCTCTCTTCTACCTAATTCAGCCCAAAATTTCTGTTGCTGAGACCTTTGTTAAATGAATCCTGCCCCCATTTTACGACCTTTCTCGCCACCGTGGTTAAAGTGAATTGCTGCGGTTCTTCCATTAGGTTGTTAAGCGAATCCGGCTTCCTCCTTGACTTTGCTTATCAGACGGTCGCAAAAGGGGATCGAGCGATCCCCGGCAAGTTGCAGCCGTCATAAATATGAGCCAAGAGTCTGAATTTTGATCACACGTGGCCATGGGGATGCTGCAACGGTCCTAAGTGTGAAAAATCGGCCTGGTGTGACTTTTTTCCAGTGCCGTTGCAACTTTGGACATCGTCACTAAATGAACTGTTGCAAGTTATTTATTTATGTCACATCTTTATCACTCAAGGCAGTGAGAACATATCCAGCACAGCTTCCTACTTCTATTGTCCTCACAATAACACCTGTGAGGTGGGTTAGGCTGAGAGGAGGTGGCCCAAAGTCACCTAGTCAGTTTTCATGCGAAGGCGAGACTAGAACTCACCGTCTCCTGGTGGTTGGCTCCCCCAGGTGGCTTTCGTGGCTAAGGCAGGACTTGAACTCACGGTCTTCTGCTTTCTAGCCCTGTGACTTAACCACGAGACCAAACTGTTCCTAGGCTAGAAATGGGGAGACTGGGAGTTCTAGTTCCCGTTTTAGGCATAAAAGCTGGCTGGGTGACGTTGGGCCAATCACCAGGAGACGGTGAGTTCTAGTCCCGCCTTAGGCATGAAGAGGCAGCTGAGTAACTTTGGGCCAATCACCAGGAGACGGTGAGTTCTAGTCCCGCCTTAGGCATGACAGCCGGTTGGCTGACTTTGGGCCAATTACCAGGAGACGGTGAGTTCTAGTCCTGCCTTAGGCATGAGAGCCAGCTGAGTGACTTTGGGCCAATCACCAGGAGACGGTGAGTTCTAGTCCCGCCTTAGGCATGACAGCCCGTTGGCTGACTTTGGGCCAATTACCAGGAGACGGTGAGTTCTAGTCCCACCTTAGGCATGAGAGCCAGCTGAGTGACTTTGGGCCAATTACCAGGAGACGGTGAGTTCTAGTCCCCGCCTTAGGCATGAGAGCCCAGCTGAGTAACTTTGGGCCATCACCAGGAGACGGTGAGTTCTAGTCCCGCCTTAGGCATGACAGCCAGTTGGCTGACTTTGGGCCAATCACCAGGAGACGGCGAGTTCTAATCCCGCCTTAGCCATGACAGCCAGCTGGGTGACTTTAGGCCACTCCCTCTCCTCTCAGTCCAGCCCACCTCACAGGGTTGTTGTTGTTGTGGGCAAAAATAGAAGCAGGAAGGTGCGTTGGATAAGTTTGCCACCTTGAGTTATTTATAAAAAAAAACAAAACCAATAAATGCGGGATACAAATATAAATATTATCTTTACGAGCAGGACGGCTCCATCAAAATATAGACTAGAGTTACCAAGCCATCCTTTTTTCGTAACTGAGCCAGCCCAAGTGTCATTTAAAATGCCCTTTTTTTTTTTAACCCCCAAAACCAGAAAGGTTTTATCCAAACACCATCCGTTTACGCAGGCAGTTAAGAATCCAAGACTAGGCTGCAAAACATGAGTTTTAAAACTTCAGAGAAATTCGTGTCTTTTGCTTTTTCCTTCCAAAAATCTTACAGTATTGTGATTTATGGGGGCGAGATATTTTTTTTACGACTTTTCGCACCCCTTCCCCCAGTTAAACGTGTCTTATAATGTGGCACGTTGATAGATGGATACAGACCGTGGTTTATTTATATTTCCCCCTCTCCCCTGCCCCCAGGAAGGGGAGAGACACTGGGCCTTTTATATATTTTCATTCATTTGGGATATGAAGATTTGCTGCCAAGTGCTGGCAAATCTTAATTTACCCCTCTGGATCGTGAGGCTAGAAAACTTTTCAAAAGCTAACAAGGACCCAAGCAAGAAATAATTTTCGCTCTCTCTCTCTCTCTCTCTTGAATTCTGAGCCCGCCTTGATTCGATATTCATAATATAGAGCCGAGGTGGCGCAGTGGTTAGAGTGCAGTACTGCAGCTACTTCAGCCGACTGCTAGTTCAGCAGATCAGCGGATCAAATCTCACTGGCTCAAGGTTTATTTATTTATTTATTTTTTTTAATTTGATTTATATGCCGCCCTTCTCCGAAGACTCAGGGCGGCTTACAATGTGCTCAGCAATAGCCTTCATCCTTTTGTATATTTATACAAAGTCAGCTTATTGCCCCCACAAACTGGGTCCTCATTTCACCTACCTTAGAAAGGATGGAAGGCTGAGTCAACCTTGAGCCTGGTGAGATTCGAACCCTGCAGTCATTGCAGGCAGCTGGTCTTAATAACCAGCTTAATAACAGGGTGCCTTAAACCCCTGTACTACCAATTTATTTATTGATTGATTGATTGATTAAATTTTTATACCGCTTAAATTTTTATACCGCTTAAATTTTTATATATATATATATATATATATATATATAAAATATATATATTTTTTATATTTTTATAAGGACTCAGGGCAGTCTGCTTCAGCCTCCTGGTGTGGGGCTTTGGGCGAAGGCTGGAGGGAAGTGCTGCTGGTGGCAAAGAGCCGGAGGGCCTCGTTCCAGTGGGAGTGCCTCATGGCCTGGAACTGGCTGACCATCTCAGCCCCATGAGCCTCCAGGCGCCGGTACCTGGCCTTGCACTCCCGCAGGTCTTCCCTCTGCTTGGAAAGCCTATGCTCCTAGTCCTCAGTGAGGTGCTTCTGCTGAGCCTCCTTCTCGGTCAGATCCAATTTGAACTGAGCCGGCTGTTTTGCCAACTCTTTCTCGTGGTGGCTGCTTAGCTCCAACAACTGCTTCTTGTTGGGGCCCTAAGGAACCCGGGCGGGCAGGCGAGAAGTGGCTGGGAGGGGAGGGGCCAGCAGAGGCCGTCGAGGCGCCCCTCGATGTGAGTGACATCGAGTTGACCACGCCCACCCAGTCACATGACTATCTAGCCACACCCAGCCACCCAGTCATTAGGCAGATCATATTAGCGATCCGCGAGATTTAAAATGATGAATTTAGTGGTCCCTGAGGTCCGAAAGATTGGTGACGCCTGGATTAGAAGACTTCCAAACTCTGTTGTTCGGTCTTCTGAATGTGTTTTAAACAAGAGAACCAAAGCCTAATGGGAACTGTTAAAGAGAGCAAGAGGAGTCCAGGGCTTCAAGAGATGGAATCTGATCTGAAGGACTTTGGCCGAAGTCCGGTAACTTAACTATGGACTCGTGTGTGGTTGTGTTGTGAGCTCTGGTGCCTGTGCATCCAACAACATATACAGTCCTCATCTTACGCGGCTCAGTTTGTGCTTTATCTTCTTGGATGCAAACGTCATTGCTCTTTGCTGGAAAAAATTTCCTTGTAACCTTTCTTTTTTTTCCCTAAAATCACATTCCTAAGTGACAAATCCCGGGGATAAAATCGTTGTTGAGTCCAAGAATTTGTAATAGAACAGCTGAGATTGTTAGCCAGGGCAAATAAAAGCGTCTGGAGACACCCACGCGCTCCCCACACCAACAAAAGACCTGACAACTCTATTTTCGTTTTATGACGCCTGGAGTTTTAGGGCTGAGCAGCCTTGTACAAGTTGTAAAGTGTGAAAATTGGCAGGCTGCTGACGGGGCACCAAATGTTAGCCGTAAATGTTCAAGCTGCCTGCCTGGGGCTTTCCAATTTTTGAACGCTGATGCTTTAAAAAGTTACATCAGGCTTCTATTGTATAAAATAATCTATATTATTTATAGTCTCCTGTACTGAAAAGCAGTGGTGAAATCCAATTCTTTTTTTAAACGACCGATTCTGTGGGCGTGGCTTGGTGGGTGTCGCTTGGTGGGCGTGGCAGGGGAAGGATACTGCAAAATCCCCATTCCCTCCCCACTCCTGGGGGGAAGGATATTGCAAAATCTCCATTCCCACCCTACTCTGGGGCCAGCCAGAGGTGGTATTTGCCGGTTCCCCCGAACTACTCAAAATTTCCGCTACCGGTTCTGCACAACCTGTCAGAACCTGCTGGATTTCATCCCTGCTGAAAAGGATGCCTTGTTCATCAGATTCATAAAACCTAGAATGTGTTTTGCGTTATCACTAATGCAAGTTTAATTTTAATCCTTAGGCAAATTTATCAATTCAGGGAGATGGTTCTTTTTGATTCTGCTTCTAGAGATCTGTCAAATTTCCTGAACTAATATAAAAACCTTTCCTCCTTGGAATTATTACACCCTTTGGAGATTAATCAGAAATTGGAAATTCTAGTTTCTCTACAGTACATTCATTGACTGATGGATTCTGTTGGAATTCCTGTTTCTTTAAGAACTGTGTGCCTTTTGTTCGAGGTCCTGAAAAAAAAGACAAGCTTAAGGGAAACCATTTGGGATCCTATCTGGCAATTGGGAAATGTGGGTTTTTTTTTTTTTGGGTGCCAAGTTATTCAGGCAAAGATCACTGAAAAAAAAAAAAATACTCATCCCAATAAAAGAAAAATTGGGGGCAGAGTTCTGTCAAGATTTCCCTTTGGAAAGTTACAGAAAATATTATTACCTTGAGTTTTAAAAAAAGAGAGAGGAGGAAAAAAAGGGGGCAGGGAAGAATTGTCTAGAGGGCTCAGGGGATTAAAAAAAGGCATCTTTGTAAGTAGGAAAATTGCAGGAGGCTGTGGCCTTATTAATAGATCGTGAGTAGGTTTAAACTGCCTGGGATGGTGGAGGCTAAGCCCGAGGAGAATAAAAATGTGTGCAATGCATAAATATGTGCAGGCAGAGAACAAGTAAAATAAAAGAAATGCACGAGCAGGTTAAGGCAGCACGAGGGCTTAAATGGGCTGGTATTTACTTAAAATAGGGACGTGGTGGCTCAGTGGCTAAGACGCTGAACTTGTCAATCGAAAGGTCGGCAGTTCAGCGGTTCGAATCCCTAGTGCCGCGTAATGGGGTGAGCTCCGGTGACTTGTCCCAGCTTCTGCCAACCTAGCAGTTCGAAAGCACGTAAAAAAAATGCAAGTAGAAAAATAGGGACCACTTTTGGTGGGAAGGGAACAGCGTTCCGTGCGCCTTTGGCGTTGAGTCATGCCAACCACATGACCACGGAGACGTCTTCGGACAGCGCTGGCTCTTCGGCTTTGAAATGGGAGATGAGCACCGCCCCCTAGAGATGGAAACGACTAGCACATATGTGCGAGGGGAACCTTTACTTTTATTTACTTAAAACTTTTCTAAAAATTCTCATCTCTCTATCATGCCAGCTTTTCTCGCACAGGATTGGCAAAAACTGTCAAAAGCCTCCAAGGAGACAGGAGGTAGGTTGGTATCTATAAAAGGCAGGGAGGGAGGGAGGGAGGGAAGGAAGGAGGAAAGAAAAAAGAAAGAAAGAAAGAAAGAAAGGAGAGAGAAAGAAAGAAAAGAAGGAAAGAAAGAAGGAAGGAAGAAGAGAGAAAGAAAGAAAGAAAGAAAGAAAGAAAGAGAAAGAAAGAAAGAAAGAAAGAAAGAAAGAAAGAAAGAAAGAGAGGGAAAGGAAGGTTCAGAATGGACCCAACTACCTCTGAAATACAGAGAGGGAATTCTAATTCTAATTGCAAGGATTCTCCCTCCTTGGGGACAGAAGATGCTGTGATCTCTCTACTTCCTTTTCCTGTTTATACAGTTTTTTAACTGGCTGGAGGTGGGAGGAAGCTTTGATGTGAGGCTACTCTGTTCCATCTTGCACGTTCTCCAGAGGTTTTGGGAGACCCGACTTCCTGCTTTTTTAACCATGAAGTGCCATTCAGTCTTATATTCGGTGGGAATTTGAGAGGAGGTCCATGTCGGCGGCCCTCAAAGCTTGGATTATAATGTACTTCTAAGTTTTCTAAGCTCTCTCAATTCCTGGCAAATAGATGGGGAAGAAATGGAGGGAGTGACAGATTTTATTTTCCTGGGTTCCAAGATCACCACAGATGGGGACTGCAGCCAAGAAATTTAAAAGAAGCTTGCTCCTGGGGAGGAAAGCTATGGCAAATCTAGACAGCATCCTAAAAAGCAGAGACATCACCCTGCCAACAAAAATGCGTATAGTCAAGGCTATGGTGTTCCCAGTTGTGATGGATGGCTGTGAAAGTTGGACCATAAGGAAGGCTGAGCGCCAAAGAATTGAGAGGCCTTTGAACTCTGGTGCTGGAGAAGACTCCTGCGAGTCCCTTGGACTGCAAGGCCATCTAACCGGTCAGTCCTAGAGGAGATCAACCCTGACTGCTCTTTAGAAGGCCAGATCCTGAAGAGGAAACTCAGATTCTTTGGCCACCTGATGAGAAGGAAGGACTCACTGGAAAAGAGCCGAATGCTGGGAAAGAAGAAGGGGACAGCAGAGAAGGAGGTGGCTGGATGGAGTCACTGAAGCAGTCGGCGTGCGCTTCAATGGACTCCAGAGGATGGTAGAGGACAGGAAGGCCTGGAGGAACATTGTCCATGGGGTCGCGATGGGTCGGACACAACTTCGCAACTAACAACAACAACAAAGCATTTACAACAGCGCTGCCAATCTTACGCTGTCTGGACTTCGGCTCCCAGAACTTCCCAGCTAGCTAGTCCAGGCAGGCATCATGTCGCCACTAAACGAACCACAGCCCTGTGAAACCCTACTCATTAAGCAATTTTCCAGAACCTTCTGGAAGGTTCAGTCAGACCAACGTCAGAAACGGAATTCTTCTTGTTCAACAAAGGAAGAACTGTTTCTTTTAAATTCTGCCATGGTTTAAAAGCAGTAATTCCATACTTAGAGGCATTTGCTAAAGATCAGTTCATGTTAACACATGCTGTTCTGTTCGGCTTGCCCTGCTTGCTGCGGGATATTCATCCCAAAGGTGCTTTTTTTCAAGAGGCAACTGGACTTCCTTGTTTTTCTCTGAAGACATTTCGCTTCTCACCCAAGAAGCTTCTTCGGCTCTGACGGGATGGTGGGAGAATGGAAGGATTTACATTCCTTGCGGACAATTGGTCATTTGCATCCTTTTAGAAGGTTGTTGAGGCTACTGGGAGGTTTACCTTGGTCCTTATTTTTAGATAAACCTCCAAGTGGCCTCAACGACTCTCTAAAAAGGATGCAAATGACCATCCTCCCATTCATCCTCCCGTTCATCCTCCCGTTCTCCCACCATCCGGTCGGAGCTGAAGAAGCTCCTTGGATGAGAAGTGAAACGTCTCCAGAGTAAAACCAGAAATTCCAGTTGCCCCTTGAAAAAGCATCTTTGGGACAGCTATGACCTGGATGACTGAGTATCTCCGTAGACATTTACTGTGGAGACATGAGCCTCGGTGGCGCAGTGGTTAGAGTGCAGTAGGGCAGGCTATTTCTGCTGACTGCCGGCTGCCTGCAATTTGGCAGTTCGAATCTCACCAGGTTCAAGGTTGACTCGGCCTTCCATCCTTCCAAGGTGGATAAAATGAGGACCCAGATTGTTGGGGGCAAGAGGATGACTCTGTAAACCGCTTAGAGAGGGCTGTCAAAGCACTTTGAAGCAATATATAAGTCGAAGTGCTATTCCTTCCTTCCTTCCTTCCTTCCTTCCTTCCTTCCTTCCTTCCTTCCTTCCTTCCTTCCTTCCCTCCCTCCCTCCCTCCCTCCCTCCCTCCCTCCCTCCCTCCCTCCCTTCTTGTAATTAGAATGCAGTATTGCAGGCTAACTCTGCCCACTGCCAGGAATTCGATCCTGACTGGCTCCAGGTTGACTTGACCTTCCATCCTTCCGAGGTGGATAAAATGAGGACCCAGATGGTTGGGGCCAATATGCTGACTCTGTAAACCGCTTAGAGGGGGCTGTAAAGCACTGTGAAGCGGTATATAAGTCTAAGGGCTATTGCTGTTCCTATATTCACTATCTCCCATTTGTTTTATGTTGGCTGTAGATAATAAAATCAATTCATCCCTTCTGAACTAAGGACAATGGAGGCAGCGGTTTGCTTGCTGCTGATGGCCACTGTGGGAATCAACGCTCAGAAGCCCGAAGGCGTCGAAAGCCATGTCGCGGGAGGGACGCGGGAATTCATTTACGGAAACAGATACAGGCGCTCCAGCGAGGCGCAGGAGAAATGCACGTACACCTTCATTGTCCCGCAGCAAAAAGTAACCGGGGCCATTTGTGTGAACTCCAAGGAACCCGAAGCCGTCCTCCTGGAAAACAGGGTCAACAAGCAAGAGGTGGAGCTCCTCAACCACGAACTCCTGAAGCAGAAGCGGCAGATAGAGACCCTGCAGCAGCTGGTGGAAGTGGACGGCGGCATCGTGAACGAAGTCAAGCTGCTGCGGAAGGAAAGCCGCAACATGAACTCCCGCGTCACCCAGCTGTACATGCAGCTGCTGCACGAGATTATCCGGAAACGGGACAACGCGTTGGAGCTGTCTCAGCTGGAGAACAGGATCCTGAACCAGACGGCCGACATGCTGCAGTTGGCCAACAAGTACAAAGACCTAGAGCACAAATACCAGCACCTGGTCACCATCGCCAATAATCAATCGACGGTGATCGCCCAGCTGGAAGAGCACTGCCAAAGGACGCCGGCCATCAAGACGGTCCTGCCACCGCCGCAGCCCCCGAACCGCGTCTACCAGCCGCCCACGTACAACCGCATCACCAACCAAATCTCCACCAACGAAATTCAGAGCGACCAGAACTTAAAGGCTTTGCCGCCGACTCTCCCAACTATGCCATCCGTCACCAGCGTCCCGACTTCGACCGACAAGCCCTCAGGTAGGACAATCGATCGGGGTTGCTTTTTTTTTAGTACGGCCACGGACCGGATGCAGGTAGCAGGTAGCTCTTGGCGTACAGCGGCAAAAGAGCCCCAAATTTCTCTTCTAGAGACCCAGACGGTCATAATATTGGCATTACAGTGGTCCTTGGCCAAGATTTCTATCACTAAGCAAGACGGTTGTTAAGTGAGTTTTCCCCCCTTTCACGACCTTTAAGGAATTGCTACAGTTAAGTTAGTAAGATGGCCGTTAAGGGACTCTGGTTTTTCATCTCCTTCCCTCCTTCCTTCCTTCCTTTTTTCAGCTCTTTTCTCCCCGCCTCCTCTCTCCCTCACTTCTCTTCATCTCCTTCCTTCCTTCCCTCCATCCCTCTTTCCTTTCTCTTTCTATCTCACTTCCTTCCTTCTTTCCCTCCCCCCTCCACTTTTATCTCCTCCTTCCCTCCTTAAATCTCCTTCCCTCTCTCCCTCCCTTTTCATCTTCCTTCCTTCCCTCCCTCCTTCCTTCCATCTCCTTCCTTCCTTCCCTCTGCTCTCCCTTGTCCTTCCTTCTCTTCCTCTCCCTCTTTTCAGCTTTCTCCCTGCCTCCCCTCTCCCTCATTTCTCTTTATCTCCTTCCATCCATCCCTCTTTCCTTTTCTTTCTATCTCATTTCCTTCCTTCCTTCCCTCCCTTTTCATCTTTTTTCCCTCCCTCCCTCTTTTCCTTCCTTCCTTCCTTCCCTCCCTCTGCTCTCCCTGTCCTTCCTTCTCTTTCTCTCTCCCTCTTTTCAGCTCCTTTCTCCCTGCCTCCCCTCTCTCCCTGACTTCTCTTTATCTCCTTCCTTCCTGCCCTCCATCCTTCTTTCCTTTCTCTTTTTATCTCCTTTCCTTCCTTCCTTCCCTCTCCTCCACTTTTCATCTCCTCCTTCCCTTCCCTCCTTAAATCTCCTTCCTTCCCTCTCTCCCTCCCTTATCATCTTCCTTCCTTCCTTCCCTCCTTCCTTTTCCTTTTCCTTCCTTCCTTCCCTTCCTTCTTCTACCTTCCATTCTACTTATCACGAAGGGGGATTTGATTCCCCTCCATCTTACACGTAGCTCCTTAGGGAGGCCTACCTCCTACTCTTTGGATGGGAACACACGGAGTAGCTGTATTTTCCTTAATTCAATTATGGAAAACTTCCTTGGAGCTAAAGGCTGAGCTGGGAACGTTTCATCAGCCAGGAGGAGGAGAAAAAACAAAACAAAAAAAAAAACCCCACACCACCCTCTCAGCTACTCTTCTAATGTCACGCATAATGTCTCTCCTTCTGATATTTTAATTTACTGGGTTTTTTTTGCCATAAGGTTTTTAAATCTGGGGAAAAGAACCCTGGGCTTGTTTGGGGTGGAGGGGAAGGAGAAGGGGTTATTACAGTTCAGAAGACAAACAAGCTCTCTTTATTGAATCTGAACAATTAGATTAATAAGCCCAAAGGAATGGTTAAAAAAAAGAAAAAAGTGGGATTCCCAGAAGGAGAAGCTAATGCGAGGGAGAATTCTTAAAACAGGTGGAGTTCTTAAAAAACAACCATTAAAAGCACTTTTTCCCCCCTCCTCCTTCCTTCACCTAAGAAACTTTTTTAAAAAGACGATGAAAGAGAACAGGAGGACTCTTAGTCAGACAAAACTTCTACATGAGATCAACCAACCAGCCATTTTTTTTAAAACTTAATTAGGGAAAAGTCTCCGGAGAGGAGAAGGAAAAAATAAAAAAAAACAACAACCGTGCTTTGATTTGTGATGTTTTCAATCGGCAGGACAAATTAAACTCCTTTTTCGGACTGAAAAGAGTTCAGTTCTCCCTCGGTTTGGCTTTTTTGTAAAAAAAAAAAAAAAGAGTGGAAAACTTTGGGAAATAATTCAGATACCGAGAGAGGACGCCAATGGCTCCGGTTGCCAGATCTAGTCAGATACGATTAATATATGAAACGATGTTTGGGTTTTTCTTAAAAAAATGATCTGTTGGTTAAATAGAGCCTTCTCCTACTTCTGCCTGTGGCGTGAAGCTTAGTGTACCAGGTGTGACTGGCACAAGTGCAGAAGGACAAACACACATTGAATGTTTAAGGGAGATTCAAAAATAAAATCTCCCAGTATCTGGATGGCCAGTTATATCCTTTCTTCTAAAGTCCTAAAACAAAAAAGGGGGATATTTATCTGAACGTTAAGTACAAGACATTTTACATGGAGGCTGTCACTAAGGTCTGTAGAGCAGAGGTGAGATTCAGCCGGTTCGGGAAAACCGGATGCTAATTTTACATCTGGTTCGCCAAACCGGTCGTTGAAAGCATTCACAACTTCTGGAGGCAAGTCGTTCCACTTAGATCAATTGTTCTAATTGTCAGGAAATTTCTCCTTACTACTAAGTCGGTTGGACTAGAAGACCTCCAAGGTCCCTTCCGAATAACTCCGTTATTCTATTGTTCTATAACTGGGCAACGTCATCAGTGCTAGAAGGGAGTGGGTTGTGTGGAGTGGAGGAGAAAGGGAGGAGGAGGAAGAGAGGAGGAAAAGCAGCAACCTCTTGCATATCTTGCAAGCCAAGGATCTCGAGAATATGAATGCTAAAATACCACACTCACCTTTATTGTGATGCTACCAAAGAGTTTGGCAGCGATGAAGGGCAGCACCCCTCTAAGACTGAAAGAGTAACCATGGGGATTTACTTCACGCCCAATATATTTTCACAGCTTCCTTTTTCATCCTTTTATCATTTTTCCCCCCAGCTCTAAAACATAAGACTGCTTCTAAGTTTAGAAATTTAGCAAGGTAAATGACGTCTCATAAAGCACAGAACCAGCCAGAAAAACCACCTTTGACTCCGTCTAGAATGGAGACGCGGCGCCTTAGAAGGAAGACATACGGTGTCTCTTATTTCCCACCAGGTCCATGGCGAGACTGTTTACAAGCTTTAGAAGATGGCCACGGGACCAGCTCCATATATCTCGTCAAACCGGAAAACGCCAACCGACTGATGCAAGTCTGGTGCGATCAGCGGCAAGATCCCGGCGGATGGACAGTAATTCAGAGGCGCTTGGATGGCTCGGTTAATTTCTTCAGGAACTGGGAAACGTATAAGGTGAGGTTACATAATGGCGCCTTTCAGTGAGGGAGAAAAATCTTCTCTAGAGTCATGGGTTTTTTTTCTGAGGGGAATTCGTCGAGAACGTTTAAGAGCATTCGACTTTTGTAGGTCTGGTTCTTATAGCGAAAGAACGCCAGGGGTAGGAGGTGGGAGTTAAACGTATCATCAGTTTAGAGTCCTTAGATAAAGGTAAGGGTCCCACGTGTGGTCTTTAATATCTTGCCTTATCTCTCTTTAAATCAAGGGGTGAATTTGAAACTCTGTCTCCCATCAGTCAGTACTATCCAAGATTTTAAATAAGTAGGTAAAATAAAATTAAAACCTGCAGGGTTGTTTAGGTACAATAAGCAGTTATACAATCGAATGAATGAATGAATGAATGAATGAATGAATGAATCAATCAATCAATCAATCAATCAATCAATCAATCAATCAATCAATCCAAGACATATCACAGCATCTACTGACACAATCTAGTTTCTAGGTTCATTACAACACTTGATAAGCACCTAGATCAAATCAACATCGGTTGAAGAAATTTAGACTGGATTCCCTCTAATAAGTCTTACATCTTTTGAGGACATCCGAGAATCAAATAAATGGCTGACCAACTTTATTTATTTATCGAATTTAGAGGCCGCTTAGACCGACTCTGGGTGGTGTACAACTAAAACTTACAATTACCTTATAGCTTATAATTTAATTATATAAAATGATATAATTTTATAATATAATATAAATAATAAATAATACTATTATTTTAATTATTTAATTAATATAATAATTAATAAATTAATTTAAATAAATAAATAATATAAAAATAAAATACAAAAAAAATAATATAATAATTTAAAAAAGGTATAATTCCCTCAACAGTGTCAAACTACTCACATTAGGCTGCATTACTATTACTGTTAATTTTTTCATCGTTCCTATCACCCATCTCCTCCCACTTATGACTTCATGACTGTAACCTTGTTATTTGTATCCTTACGATTTATATTGATTGTTTCCTAGTATAATTCAATTGCTTATTTGTACCCTATGACTATCATTAAGCGTTGTACCTTATGATTCTTGACGAATTGTATCTTGTCTTTTTATGTGCACTGAGAGCTTATGCACCAAACACAAATTCCTTATGTGTCCAATCACACTTGGCCAATAAAGAATTCAACTCAACAACTCAACTCAACTCAACTCAACTCAACTCAACTCAACTCAACTCAACTCAACTCAACTCTAGTCTAGTCTAGTCTAGTCTAGTCTAGTCTAATTTCCATTTCCATTTCCATTTCTATTACTTATTCTATTCTACCTTGGCCCCCAAAACATTGAGAGTCAGAGAAATTTAACAACTGCTAGATCATGGCTACCTGTGATTTGCAAACCTTTTTATAAAACCGATTCATTGCCTTTTTTTGTTTGTTTATTTTCTTGTAGCAAGGGTTTGGTAACATCGATGGAGAGTATTGGCTGGGACTGGAAAACATTTACTGGTTGACGAACCAAGGCAATTACAAGTTGTTGGTAACCATGGAGGACTGGTCGGGACGCAAAGTTTTCGCGGAATACGCCAGCTTCCGTCTGGAGCCGGAAAGTGAATTCTACAGGTTGCGAGTGGGACGCTACAACGGCAATGCGGGAGATTCCTTTACGTGGCACAACGGAAAACAGTTCACCACACTGGATAGAGACCATGATGTATACACAGGTACAAAAATTGGCAGTGGGTTTCAGTATGAATGTGCATTAAAGCTTATATGGAATGGGAATGGGAATAGAATAGAATTCAGAATTGAATTGAATTCAATTGAACAGAATTGAACAGAATAGAATAGAATAGAATAGAATTAAGAGTAGAGTAGAGTAGAATAGATTAAGGAATAGAATAGAATAGAATAGAATAGAATAGAATAGAATAGAATAGAATAGAATAGAATAGAATAGAATAGAATAGAATAGAATAGAATAGAATATTCTTTATTGGCCAAGTGTGATTGGACACACTTAATAAATATTGGAAGGGACCTTGGAGGTCTTCTAGTCCGACCCCCTGCTCAGGCAGGAAGCCCTATGCCATTCCAGTGGCTGTCCAGTCTCTTCCTGAAAGCCTCCAGTGATGGAGCCCCCACAACCTCTGGAAGCAACTTCCGTCCCACTGGCGAATCGTTCTCTCCGTCAGGAAAAACTCTCCACTCAGAACGTGGTTTCCTTCTCTCTCTTCCAGGCAACTGCGCCCACTATCAGAAAGGGGGCTGGTGGTACAACGCGTGCGCGCACTCCAACCTCAACGGCGTCTGGTACCGAGGGGGCCACTACCGGAGTCGTTATCAAGATGGAGTCTACTGGGCAGAATTCCGGGGAGGATCGTATTCCCTGAAAAAAGTGGTGATGATGATTAGGCCGAATCCTAACACGTTCCACTGAAGGGAGACAGCGTCCACTTCCAGAGGGGCCAAGGGTTTACCCGCGTTTCCCGGAACCCATCTTCTCGGCGACAAAGAATGTAAAATAATCTTGTAACACACTGACTCGCTCGACAAGGAGACCTGGACATTGGACTGTTCCAGAATCGATCTAGAACCAAATCAAGCAGCTTTTTTTGAGGGGTGGGGACAATGCTCTTTGTCTGGAAAACAAGGAACCAAGCAATCACTTTCAGATGGCACGGACCGTAGCTAAACGGAGATCCTCGGAAGGCTGCCACACCATCTAGATGCTTCCTATGTTAGATATACTCTCAAATCCTGCACATATTCGAAACTGTACAGTATAATAATAGATCCATTTGACACAGGGAATTATATCCTTCGAAGTTCTGTAGCCAGCATGGTATCTTGTTGTTGTTAGTCATGAAGTCATGTCCGACCCATCGTGATCCCATGGACCACGTTCCTCCGGGCCTTCCTGTCCTCTACCATCCCCCCCGGAGTCCCTTTAAGCTCACATCGACTGCTTCAGTGACTCCGTCCAGCCACCTCGTTCTCTGCCGTCCCCGTCTTCTTTTTGCCCTCAATCTTTCCCAGCATTAGGCTCTTCTCCAGGGAGTCCTTCCAGGAGTGAAATTCAGCAGGTTCTGGAGAACTAGTAGTAGAAATTTTCAGTAGTTCAGAGAACCGGCAAGTACCACCTCTGGCTGGCTCCAGAGTGGGGTGGGAATGGAGATTTTGCAATATCATTCCCCCAGGAGTAGGGAGGGAATGGGGATTTTGCAGTATCCTTCCCCCAGGAGTTGGGAGGGAATGGGGATTTTGCAGTATCCTTCCCCTGGAGTGGAGTGAGAATGCAGATTTTGCAATATCCTTCCCCTGGAGTGGGGACGGAATGGGGATTTTGAATTATTCTTCCCCTGGAGTAGGGAGGGAATGGGGATTTTGCAGTATCCTTCCCCTGGAATGGGGTGGGAATGGAGATTTTGCAGTATCCTTCCCCCAGGAGTGGGGTGGGAATGGAGATTTTGCAGTATCCTTCCCCTGCCACGCCCACCAAGCCACGCCCACAGAACTGGCAGTAAAAAAATTTGAATTCCACCACTGATTGCTCTTCCTTCTCATCAGGTGGCGAAAGTATTTGCGTTTCATGGGTATCTTAGGCTGTCAAAAAAGAGGACGGTTCTTAATTTATGATCCGTTGCAGGGCCTCCGTGCCTTGTCCACCAACTGTGTCTTGCCCAAACGGAATTCCAGGTTTGGAATTCTTGCAACCCTGCTTGGATGCCGGGCAAGGTTGCGACTCCACCAATTAACTATTTCGAGCGGTTTATACAAACAATTCCAGAATTTCTCTTCTCTCTTCCTCTCGAATGCATCGACTGTTCTCCAAACGTTGACGAAACTCATACTGTACTTTCTTTTTATTTTTTCAATGTTCTCAGCAGTATCAATGCATGTTTTGTTTTGTTTTTAGACTTTTGGGCATAACTTAGGTCGGTGTTGGCGAACCACCGAGTGACGAAACGGGAGTGAGCGTGCAGCTCCCCGGCGCGCACACACAAGAGTGCCAGAAACCGGAAGAGCAGTTCCCTGGTTTCCGGCATGGCTGGTCACCTGGTCTTCGGTTTCTAGCGTGCATGCACGCACGAAGAACAGCTGGCCAGCACGCATACGTGCACTGGAACCAGAAGCTCAGCTTCCCAGCTCGCGCATGTGTGCCAGGGAGCTGCTCTCTGGTTTCCGGCATGCCCACACATGCAAAGATCAGCTGGACGGTGCACATGTGCGCACTGGAACTCGGAAGAGCAACGGGCGACAGCTGGCGTGCCCAGAGAGATGGCTCTGGGTGCCACTACCAGCACGAATGCCATAGGTTCGCCATCATGGACTTCGGTCCTGCTTTATCATCTGCAGAAATGTTTTGAAAATATAAATGACAATTCCGGCTTCCCAAGCTACCGTATTTTTCTGAGTATAAGACACACCTTTTCCCCCCCTAAAAAGGGGTGAAAATTTAGGTGCGTCTTATACACCGAATGTAGCCCCGCCTACCCACTGACCCCCCCCCCTTTGGCCTCTGCCTCCCAGCAGTTAGCTCTTTGCAAGCAAACAGCAAGAAAAAACAGCTCCTTTCAGCGTCAGCAGAGCCTAATTAGCACAAGTTGATTCGATAGGCCTCCCGACTCTCAGCTGATTTGTTCTCAGCTGTTTTGCGCAGGGCTCTGCTTTGCAGAGGTAAATTGCTGGAGCAGATTTTTTTTTCCCCTTGTGCTAATCAAGCTATGCTGAAAACGAAAATGAAAGTAAAGCAGGCTGTTTGCTATTGGCTGCAAGAGGCAAAATTGCTCAGAGGCAGATTTCTTTTTCTTCTTTTCCTCACCAAAAAAGGTAGGTGCGTCTTATACTCCAGTGCGTCTTATACAAATACTGTAAGTTATGCTTGAAAACTTTCCTTTCTCTAATAAAAACAACAGTCATGCAACTTACAGAATTACCTGGACAAGGGAATAAAAACTTGGGAGGGTGGGTAAAAGAAGATTCTGGAATCGTTAAAAACGAAAGGAAAAGGGGTAAAAGTTTAATGCTTCCTTAAATTGAAGGCAAATAATCGCTATTGGAACAGAACCCATTTAATTAGCCATTAGACTGTAACTCTTTGGGGAGAGAAATGATACATAGCACCATTTGCTGTATGGCCAAAATACACATATTAAAAGGAGAATTACGCAAACTTATCTATAATGCCCATTGTAGACACTTGAACTTCTGAATTCTACTACTCTGCTGGGGTAAACAACCAAAATGGATTATTTTAAGACATTGCTTCCCAGAACAGTGGGAACCTTAAAGTTTTCAAACTGTTATTACCTCATTATTTCATTCCTGATGGACAATGTGCGCTAACATTTTGGAATGAGGTAGCATGCCTTGTACACATAATGAAAGTAGGGAGTTTAATATATGGTCAGATTACCTTGTAATGCTGCAATAAAAGCAACAAATGTTACTTGGATACAACACATGGATTATTTTATTATATGAGAGAAACAGACAGATAGAAATATATAGAGAGAGAGATACAGAGAGATAGATCGAGATAGATATAGACAGACAGATAAAGAGAGAGATACAGATAAATAGAGATGATAAATAGATGTCAGATAAGATGATAGAGATAGATAATTACCATTATTACCTAATCAATGGAATAAAAGTGGCTGTCTGTTTGTCTATCTATCCATCTATCCATCCATCCATCCAGTCTTCATCATGTCTGTCCATCCATCCCTCCAACCTTATCATCTATCTATCTATCTATCTATCTATCTATCTATCTATCTATCTAGTCTTCTTCATGTCTGTCCATCCCTCCCTCCCTCCCTCCCTCCCTCTATATCTATCTATCTATCTATCTATCTATCTATCTATCTATCTATCTATCTATCATCTATCCATCCATCCATCCATCCACTTCTTTATCATGTCTGTCCATCCCTCCATCCCTCTATCCGTCTATCTACCTATCTATCTAGTCTTCATCATGTCTGCCCATCCCTCCCTCCAACCCTATCATCTATCTATCTATCTATCTATCTATCTATCTATCTATCTGTCTATCTATCTATTCTAGTCTTCTTCATCATGTCTGTCCATCCCTCCCTCTATCCATCCATCCATCTAGACTTCTTTATCATGTCTGTCCATCCCTCTATCCCTCTATCCCTCTATCCCTCTATCTATCTATCTATCTATCTATCTATCTATCTATCTATCTATCTATCTATCTATCTCATCTATATCTACTATCATCGTATCTATCTATCTATCTATCTGTGGTGAAAAACCTTCTGGCATCATTAAAAAAAAAAATGCACGAAGATTGTGGCTTCCTTAAAGCCACACAATTTGTGCCGCACTCAACTACAAATGAACCTCCTAATCTTGACGATCAAGCGAATGCTCCCCCACCCTTTTGTCTCCTCCAACTGTAAAAATTACAGGCAGAGAAGACCCTTTAAAAAAAAAAAGAAGAAGAAGAAGAAATGCAGGAATCCTTTGATGTTACGAGGACTATTTCATTAATTCCAGACCCTGTTCCTTCTCCAGGAAGACATGCCATCTTAAACTGCAGCAACTACTGGCTTGAACTGTGATTCTTGGAAACGATTTACATCGCTCTGCCGGAGCTTTTCAAATCACTGGAGGAGGCAGCTGCCAACTTTTAAGTGAAAAACGATATTAAAAGCAAAGTTCGCTAAGACAAACAAACAAGCCCTAAAAAATGAAATGAGTGGCAGAGCAATACCGTACATCAAGAGGTCATGTCTGTTAGCGGATTTTGTCGGAACAAAGGAAGGCGTGCAAATCTGCCACGGGCTTTCTAAGGGATGAGCTACTCTCTGGATCTGGAGCGGGTTTTTTTAAAAAATAAATAAATAAAGACATTGCAATGCTATTGAGGGAAGGGAGGAAAGACCGTGGTTACGGTTTTCGGTTTTGTTTTAACGAAAAGATTACGGGAAACCGGGAAACAGGGACAAAATGTTAACCTGGCACTCAGGCGAAATGTAAACTCAAAAAAGTCTTAAGTTTTGTCAAAATCAAAAGAGCCTGGTAGTACAGTGGACTAAAGCACCCTGTTATTAACATCTGCTGCTTGCAATTACTGCAAGTTCGAATCTCGCCAAGGCTCAAGGTTGACTCAGCCTTCCATCCTTTCAAAGGTAGGTGAAATGAGGATCCAGATTGTGGGGGAAATAAGCTGGCTTTGTATAAATATACAAAAGTATGAAGGCTATTGCTTAGCGCATTGTAAGCCGCCCTTACAATGAGTCTCCAGAGAAGGGCGGCATATAAATTAAAGCAAAAAAAAAAAAAAAAAAAAGGTTAAACAGGAGAAATGGAGAAAGTGCAGAAAATTGGTAGGTGAAGAATAAATCAATGGGAAAATAAATTATTCTGTCTTTTGTCCTATACCATCCCCTTCTTCTTAAAACCCAAATAATAAAGTTCATAAAGACAACAGATATATGTCCATCCAAACATCCATCTTCTATTTATATCTATCATCTATCTATCTATCCATCCATCCATCCATCCATCCATCCATCCATCTTCATTATCCATCCATCCATCTATCCAATCCCCCAATTTTCAGTTTTGTCCTTACCTATCCTCACTAGTGCTGATGATGTTACCTCGCTGGGTAATGAAACGTGTACAAGAAAACAACCAAGCTCTGAGAACACCAAGGACCCCCCTCCAGAAAAGTCCTTATTTATTTATTAAATTCATAAACCACCCATCTCGCTATCCAGAACAGCTCCTAAACATTCCCCTTGCAATTTCTGCATTTATATTTATTTTATTAATTCAACTTGTATACCTTGTATTATATATATATATATTATATTATATATATATTTTAAAAAAACACCGAATCCTCTTGCAAATCCAGGAATTCTTCTTGTCCCTTGTAATGATCAGTGCAATGGCAGAATTAAAACAATTCATAACAAATCCCCGATTAATCTTCAGGAAGGGATCAAGAGGTGGATCTTCCCTCTTGCCCCAACTTTCCGTTCAAGCTTAGCTTTTCCTCTCAACCCAAACCTACAAAGTACCGTAATCTAAGAGAGAGCTAGAAAGCAAATTTTTCTCGAACGAAATCAAAGTTTCTTTCCATTTAGGCTCAGGTGGAAAGCAAATCCCTTTTAATTGGAGCACTGAACCATGAACAAGCGGATTTTATCTTCCAAGTATCTGCCTTTCATAAATGAAAGGAAGCATTTCTTAAAATTGCTCAGAAAAGCAGCACAAAATAAACACAGACACTAATGTCATGTTAGCATCGCATCCAGCAATGCCAACAAAGGCCAAACAGCAGAAGCGCCAAGAAAAATGGGCTGACAAAGGCTCCTTGGCCCATTTTCGAGCAATAAATTCAAATGACTTGGACTAAACTATTAATATAGCTTTAGCTTTAAATCATTCAATTAAATCTGTCAACCAGACCAGAGCTTCACGGAGAAGGTCCTCAAGGAACATGGTTCCACAGTCCCAAAGACCTATCTCTACTCATCCAAACCATCACTTCCCACACATTTAAATGCCTTGCTATCAATGTGCTATCTGGGAAGAATCTGGTTTTACTATAATGGACAGCACAGCATTATAATAACTTATAGCATCACGTGAAAATATAGTCAACAAAGGGCAACACTTCCTGTTAGGATAGAAATCTCTGTTACCGCCATTTAATTTAAGATGGTTCATCCTTGTCGTTCGTCTAAAAACAGGTAAAGGCGGATCACCAGATCGTGAAACTTTACCCCAAAATACGTTTACGGGGAAATTTGGCAAAGGAGCCTTACTGTAGAGAATTTGCCTTGTCTCTGTCAGGGTTCCAAATAATACACCCATAGCAAACAGAATTCCGAGGTAAGTAGATTCTTCAAAGAAAGGATTCATTGGATATATCGAATTGGCACGGACTGGTGAAAACCGACTCTAAAAGTTCCCGCGGTTTTCACTTAATTAAAAGTTTTCTCCTCTTCCCCAAACAATTGGTCACGCGGACCAATCAAGGTGCTGTCCGGTTGCTTGGAAACTTCACTCCTCCTCTCGTCAGCCACCTGTCCTTGGTTCTCAAGGGGAAACTATTTTGCTTTGTCTACAAAATCCCAACTATCTCTATTCCACCCCCCTCCCTATCCCTCAACTCTGTTGTGGCAACGCTGAAGCCTCCCAAGATGGCCACAGTTCAGGCCAGCTTCAGAGTCACCATGTCTGGATGAGAACGCTTCTAGACTTTGGAGAGGTTTGCATGGCGCCGGTGCCAAGTATCTGGTGAGGACATCTGTGTAAGAATAACTGACATATTCTGGGGAATATTTCACAGCTTGTGGGAGCTGTTCCTTCCTCACACGAGAGAGGGGTGTTGCCGGTTTGTGAAAATTAAAACAACAAAGAACCGAGCTCATTGACTTGAAATAGGTTGGATTCAGTAAGTCCAGACTTGTCTATTACTCAGAAGGAGAAGCGCGGTTACCGAAGACGCTTTACGGCAGATAAACGAGGGAAAATAAAATAGTTTTAACTTAACTTACCCAGATAAGGAATGCAGGGCACCATCTTCAAGCATCGGATGTACTCTCGCATCCTCTTGTAATTGTCTTCCTTCGACATTAAGTAGTCCAGCTTCTCGAAAGTGGTCTTGTCCTTGCGGTTCAAAAGCTGAAGACAAAATAAATCAAAAGAGGGGGGATATGGTTTACAGCTTAGAAAGGGTTAAAAACACAGGAAAACACTGTTGAGCCATGGTGGCGCAGTGGTTAGAGTGCGGTACTGCAGGCTACTTCTGCCGACTGCCGGCTGACTGCAATTTGGCAGTTCGAATCTCTCCAGGCTCAAGGTTGACTCGGCCTTCCACCCTTCCGAGGTGGGTAAAATGAGGAGCCAGATCAGGGGTGAAATCCAGCAGGTTCTGACAGGTTCTGGAGAACCGGTAGCGGAAATTTTGAGTAGTTCGGAGAACCGGCAAATACCACCTCTGGCTGGCCCCCGAGTGGGGTGGGAATGGAGATTTTGCAATATCCTTCCCCCAGGAGTGGGGGGAAATGGGGATTTTGCAGTATCCTTTACCTGGAGTGGGGTGGGAATGGAGATTTTGCAGTATCCTTCCCCCAGGAGTGGGGGAAATGGGGATTTTGCAGTATCCTTCACCTGGAGTGGGGTGGGAATGGAGATTTTACAGTATCCTTCCCCCAGGAGTGGGGGAAATGGGGATTTTGCAGTATCCTTCCCCTGCCACGCCCACCAAGCCACGCCACGCCCACAGAACCAGTAGTAAAAAAAAATTGAATTTCGCCACTGACCCAGATTGTTGTAAAACCGCTTAGAGAGGGATGGAAAGCACTGTCAAGCGGTATATAAGTCTCAGTGCTCTTGCCATTTCTGCCTTTATATTTTCTTTCTTAGAAAATATATTAAGAGTCGGTCAAAGCAACCCAGAGATTTAGAATAGAATAGCAGATGCGAGAGTTGGAAAGGGCCCGCTTTTCACACTTATGACCGTTGCGGGCATCCCCATAGTCACGTGACCAAAATCCAGCTGGTTCACATTTACGACGGTTGCATCATCCCCGTTTACGACCTTTTGACAAGCCAGGTCGATGGGGAAGCCAGAGTCATTTCACAACCGTGTCACAAACTTAACAACCGCACACCACCTTGGCGCGAGAAAACGTCGTGAAAATGGAGCAAAGTTCACTTCACAGCTGCCTCGCTTAGCAACAGAAATTTCGGGGCTCAACTGCGTTCGTAAATTCGAGGACTACCTTTACTTTTTTTTTCCCTTCGTAGCGCCGATTGAGAAATCAAGGGGGGGGGGAACCCATCCAACCAGATGCCTTGGAAACTTTCCTGTTGAGTTACATACCCGATCGATCAAAATCGGTCAAAGTCTCTTATTTTAATGGTTTTGTTTTCAGCCCTGAAAGGGGTTGCACAGATGTTCAAAGCATGAGAAAAATGCCATGTGCTCCTCGTTAAAGCAATTAACGTCCTTGATTCGATGCTCTTTTCCAATCGGAGAAGAAGGAAAAAAATCTGGGATTGCTGCCGTCTTGACTTTAAAAGGACGCCCAACTTAATTTTGGGAAATGCTTGAAAGTTTTCGTCCCCCGTTCCCCAAAAGATGACACACACAGTTCAGATCCTTGTCGCTGATAGCAGAGACAGAAGATTTTTTTTTTTAAATTGTTTTGAGATGAAGATGGGAAAAGGTCCAGGCATGGCTAGAATTGGGTCCATTTTTTTGCAGATTAGCAAATCCTACTGAATTTTCAATGGAGATTGAACTCCCGCTGATGTTAGGGAATGTTTATACGAGGGAGCAAGTTCCTCTGGAATAGTTCTAAACAACGTTCATTGCTTTTTAAAAAAAAAAATAATAATGCATAAATTAAAAGACCTGGAGAAGATGGAGAAAAGGTAATCTGGATTAGGAAGAGTGATGGATTGCTCCGCCCACATGCTTCTGCGCATGCCGACGAGCGAACCGGCCAGTTGGGCATCATCTTTTGGGGAACGGGGGATGAAAACTCTCAAGGGGCTCCCCTTGAAGAGCACTCGGAGGCTCCAGCTGGTCCAGAATGCGGCCGCGCAGGTGGTTATGGGCGCAACCCGTTATGCCCATGTGACACCCCTCCTGCGCGAGCTGCACTGGCTCCCGGTGGTCTTCCGGGTGCGATTCAAGGTGTTGGTTACCACCTTTAAAGCGCTCCATGGCATAGGACGCGGGTACCTCCGAGACTGTCTTCTGCCACCAATAGCCTCCCACCGACCAGTTCGTTCCCACAGAGAGGGCCTCCTCAGGGTGCCATCAGCCAAGTTATGTCGGCTGGCGACACCCAGGGGGAGGGCCTTCTCTGTGGGAGCCCCAGCCCTGTGGAATGAACTGCCCCTGGAAATACGTAAGATCTCCGACCTCCGGGTGTTTCGCTGCGCACTGAAGACCCTGTTGTTCCGCCAGGCAGGGCTATCAACATAATAATTTTAAATTGGGGTATTTTAATTTTTGGGGTTTTAAATCGGCCTAATCTATTTAATTATTTTAATTTTTAATTATTGTTGTGTCCTGTGTTTTTAAATTGGCTGTACACCGCCCTGAGTCCTTCGGGAGAAGGGCGGTATAGAAATAAAATTATTATTATTATTATTATTAAGCATTTCCCAAAATTAAGTTGGGCGTCCTTTTAAAGTCAGACCACACCTCTCTTCCTAATCGGGGTGGGAATTGAGGTGTGGTAGCAAAAGAGATCTATTCTCAACAGTTTTGATCGAAACTGCCTACGATTTGATTGACATGCCAACTTTCAACAAAGATGACGCAGGTTAGAAGCTAAATCATAGGAAGAACGGTTGCAGGAACTGGATATATGTAGTCTAGTGAAAAGAAGGACCAGGGGAGACATGATAGCAGTCTTCCAATATCTCAGGGGCTCCGCAAAGAAGAGGGAGTCAAGCTATTCTCCAAAGCACCTGAAGGCAGGACAAGAAGCAATAAGTGGAAACTCATCAAGGAGAGAAGCAACCTAGAACTAAAGAGAAATTTCCTGACAGTGAGAACAGTTAATCAGTGGAACAACTTGCCACCAGAAGTTATGAATGCTCCAACACTGGAAGTTTTTAAGAAGATGTTGGATAGCCATTTGTCTGAAGTGGTGTAGGGTTTCCTGCTTGAGCAGGAGGCTGGACTAGAAGGCTCTCCAAGAAGAGACTGGATGGCCATTTCTCCGGAACTGTATAGGGCTGTGATGGTGAACCTATGACACGCGTGCCACAAGTGGCACGCAGCACCTTCTCTGTTGGCACGTGAGCTGTTGCCCCAGTTCAGCTCTGCCATGCATGCATGCACACCTCCGCCGGACAACTGGTCGTAGGGTCTCTGCTGTGCGTGCGTGGGAAGCAGGGCATGTGCGAGAGGACCTGCGCGAGGGGGTCGCATACGTATTGCATTTTGGGGATTCGGGCACTTTGGGCACTCGGTCCGGAAAAGGTTAGCCATCATTGATATAGGGTCTCCAGCTTGAGATGGACTTGAAGACCTCCAAGGTGCCTTCCAACTCTGTCATTCTCTAATTCTGCCAAGCTAAGGAGGTTCCTAGCCAAGAAAGTGCTACTCTCATTCAATACTTGCGTGGAGACGTCATTCCTTCCCACCACAGGCCAGCTATCCACTTCCATGATAAATCTAAACCCCTTCCAAACGCTGCAAGAAACCTGACGGGAAATGTTAAACGATCCGTTGTGCCGAAGATGCTATTAGCTCTTTATTCTCTATAATTAAGGCAATCGCTCACTGGGTTCCAGATGTGGAGGAAAGAACTCCATCTTATTATCCTTGGAAAGTATATCTCTTAAAAACAAACAAACACCCTACCCCTCGCGTCATAAGAATGGAATGTTTCTGATGATCCACAGTTAAACCGAGACAACTCTTCCCTCCCTCCCCAAAAAGCTGTTATCAAATATACCGTACTTTTTGGAGTATAAGACACACTTTGCCCACCCACAAAAGAGGGTGCGCCTTACAGACTGAATACGGCCATTTTTGGCCTCCCGAAACCCCGCCCCGCGTGCCCCGTTTATACCAAAAACGGGCCCATTTTTTTGCAAAAACGGGATGTGCAGAGAGTTTGGGAGGCCTGCAGAGTGCTCCTGGGGACTGGGGAGGGCCAAAACTGGACGCGCGGAGGCCAAAAACTAATTCTTTTTTCTTGTTTTCCTCTTCGAAATCTTGGTGCGTCTTATACTCCGGTGCGCCTTAATAGTTCGAAAAAATACGGTAAGTTTGCCTGGATCTCCGACATGTTGTCAAAATCATGGCTTGAACAGTTCAGAGATCTGGGCTTTTAAGGCCAGTTCTCCACCAAATAAGCGCACGTGAGCAGGCCAGGGGCGATCTTCAAAACTTTTAGCAAGGGGTTCTCTGCCCGGTTGGTGGGTGGGCGTGGCCATGGTGGGTGTGGCCTAGTTGGCCTCCTGCAGTATGGCGGGGGTAGGAGCTTTTTGCCCTCCCCAGGCTCCAGAGGTTTTCCTCAAGCCTCCGGAAAGGCAAAAATGGTCTCCCCAGGCTCCAGAAGCCCTCTGGAGGCCCGAAATGGGCCCGTTTCCAGCCTTCCCGAGCTTCCGGTAGGCCTGTTTTCGCCCTCCCCGAGGCCACATGGGGATTCTTGGGAGAGGAGGGGTGAGGTGAGGTGGGCAGGGCCAGCCAGGAGTGGGATTGGGGGTTCTCCGAACTGCACAGAATCTTAGCTAGAGGTTCTGCCGAACCCCTGCAATCCCCCAGCAGTCCACCCTTGAAGCAGGCATGTGAGGGACATCAGCGTACATATCTGAACTGGGATTAGGCCCATTCTCAAAAGGGCAATTAGGACTTTTAAAAAGAAATTTAAAAAGAACCGAGAAAGAAAAGACACGTAAACACATCTTGAAACACGACCCTGTTAAATCATCTTTTCTTTTTTTTACAATATTTCTCTCCAAAATAACATTTGTGCAACGTACGAGGGAAAAATATTGTTAATGCAACTGAGAAATGATGACCGGTTATAACCATCATTTTGGTGTTTAGTTTTTCAGAGCTTTTCGTAACTTTTTTTCCCATAGTTTTATGATTTATAGAGGCTGTAAAAGAGGCATTTGCCTTTTCTAATGTTTTGCAACAACGT